GAAAATTCGCCCGACGAGGAGGATTCGGCACTGCAACACGCTAAGGCAACACGCCACAGCGGCTAGGACGATCAGACGAGACGAAGGCATTTTGGCGCGAGGAAACGGCAGCCACATTGGTATCAAGAAACAAGAGACCGGCCATCGACGAGACGACGATCAAACGGCTCGAGAAGCTGGCATCAGTCGGCTTTGTGGATAGGCAGAGCAAGCGGGGACGGAAGGAGGCGGTGACGTTGCCGAACGACTACGGGCGGTTCGCAGCGAAGAGACGGTGCGTCCGAGGTGCAGTACCCTGGAGAACAGTTGCATCCACTTGCGGGACGACGGGGCGCGGCGCGACGTCGATCGGCGCGAGATACTGAGGAACGCAGCGGTACTGAAGGAAGAATACTTCGTCGCGCAACTAACGGCAGGCAGGCAATAAGGCAAGGTACTCGAGACGGTGGTACGTAAGCAAACTAAGTGGCTCATTATCGGTATATTTGACGTAGATTTGAGTGATCACTGGTAAGGCGTGAAACTATTGTACTCACACTGTGTAAAGTAAGTCGACATGGCGGACGAACAAGCTATCGCGGTGTTAAAAAAGAAACGCGGTATTGTTAAGGGTCAATTGTCGAAGTTCGTAACATTTATCGATAGATATAGCGAGGCGGGACACACGCCGGAATTAGAGGCTAGGTTAGAAAAGGCCGAGCAATTGTGGGCGAACTTTGACCGAGTGCAGACAGAACTCGAGATAGCGGATGAAGCGCAATCATCACATCGCGACGCGTTTGAAGAATCGTATTTCGCAGTAATAGGAAAGGCTAAAGGGTTGAGACAGACACCTACAGTTGCGCAGCCGCAAGCGGGTTACACGTGTAACAATCAAAACGTAAAGTTACCTGCATTGAAATTACCGGATTTCAATGGTGAGTATAGTAAATGGATACAATTTAGCGATACATTTAAGGCGATTATTCACAATAATACAGCATTGACCACCACCCAAAAATTCTACTACTTGAAATCGTGCTTGAGCGGAGACGCCGCACGAACATTAGATACGTTAGAAGCGTCGGACGCAAATTACGATGTCGCGTGGGATATTTTAACAGAACGATTTGAGAACAAAAACATTATAGTTCACAATCATGTGAAGGCATTATTCGAGTTGCCGCCGGTTACTAAAGACTCATACAATTCTCTTAGGGATTTGTCCGACAGCATATCGCAACACTTACGAGCATTAAAGTCATTAGACCAGCCAGTCGATAGCTGGGATTCAATCATTATCTATCTTTGCGCGTCTAAATTGGACATTGCATCACGTAACGAGTGGGAGAAGCTATCGGTTAAGAGTAGCGAACTGCCAGATATCGATGAATTTAAAACATTCTTAAATGAACGCTGTCAAATCCTGGAAAGATTGTCCAAAGACAATAAGCAATTGGATAAACGAAACGTAATTAAGGATTCAAGGGACAAGTCGAAAGCAAATTCATTATCACATTTAGCATCAAACGTAGTAAATGCTAAATGTGATAAACATGCTAAAATGCATGTTTTGCAAAGGGTCACATAATACATATTCGTGTAAGGATTTGTTGTCTTTGTCGGTTGATGAGCGATTGGCACAGATCAGAAAACTAAAACTATGCACCAACTGTTTAAGAAATAATCATTTCAGTAAAAATTGCAAGGCGGGAGGCTGTAAAAAATGCAATGGTCGACACAATACGTTGTTGCATCTTGGAGAATCTAAAACTGAAGGCAAGGCAGAGAATCAACCATCCTCAAAGGCAACTAAGACAGAGACCAAGGATGAACTTAACACGACGCATGAATCCACGGTAACCACGCACTCAGCTCAGATAACGCGAGATTCGTACATATTGTTAGCAACAGCAAGGGTGCTGATATTCGATAATAACGGAAAGTCATACCAATGTAGAGCGTTATTAGACAACGGGTCTCAATCCAATTTTATTACAATGCAATTAGCGCTGAAGTTAGGTCTTGCAAAAACGCCTATAAAACTTCCGGTGTGCGGAGTTAATCAGAGCATTACTAACATTTCGCACAAAACCAAATCATCTATTAAATCGCTGCATAACAATTATAGGGCCGAATTGTCTTTCATGGTAGTCGATAATATTACGCAGGAGTTGCCAAATAAGTTTTACAATATTTCGGCGTTAAATATACCCGAAGGATTGTCTCTAGCAGATCCACGGTTTAATTGTCCTGAAACGGTAGACTTACTATTAGGCGCGGGTATATTCTGGGAGTTGCTTTGCGCAGGTCAAATTCAATTAGTGGCAGGGAGGCCATTCCTTCAAAAAACTAAACTAGGCTGGATCATATCAGGGCCCCTGATGAGCGAATGCAAGACTTCAAAAAATTTATGTCAT